AATTGCATTTAGCTATTTCAACAGTAAAAAAGTGAGACCTTGGTGCCAATTTAGTAGCATACTTAAATTCATGTAGTCAGGGCACTAGAGAAAAAAGCTTGTCAGAGTAGTGGACATGAAAATATTTGTAGAAAAGACAGAAGGAAGCCATGCCACATTGGTGAGAATGTGACTGAATTTGATATGCCAAATCAGGATTGATTACATTACAAATCCTTAAAAATCATTTGTCATTGGAAATGTAATTGGCAAAAATGTTAAACATACAGAATTGACAAAATTTGCAATATACAATAACAAAAGATAGAAAAGAACAGGGCCAGAAGAATACTAATCAAACAGTAATATGCAAGACAAAAATAGGCAAAGCAACAGTAATGAGGCAAAAATATTCACAAACTAAGAATGTTATTAACAACCAAAAGGGATACAGACAAGTGATTATAGTGTTCTGACTTCAAGACAAGAAAGAACAGAAATATGGCAGATGTAACTGAGAAGTGGCCTATCTTATTGGCTTGGAAGAAATCCAAGCATGCATCTATTGGGATTTGTTTATAAATAACAGGATGTTTTTGGAACCAACTCATCTGTGTTGACTGAGTAACCCCGCAGGAGAATGTATGCTTACTTGTATGCAGTAAGGTCCTATTTGATTGTAATTTATATCAAGGCCACACAAGTTCTGAATCTCGTCAAAATAGCTGGATACATGGTCACACAATAGCCAAGTTCACTCATTGACATCTCTGTACTGAGTGACTCCACATGAGTGTGTATGCTTACTCATTTGCAGTAATAGAAGATTGATTGCCAAATTGGTCCTCAGTTTCATCAAAATAGCTGGATACATAGTTACACAATACAAAAGCTCAGTCATTGATATCTTGGTGCTGACTGAGTAACCCCACGGGAGAATAACTGCTTACACATATGCAGTAAGGTCCCCTTTGATTACCATCAAGGTCACACAACTGGTACTTAATCTTGTAAAAATTTAAGACATGAACCATGTTATTATGCATGAGATTCATTAAACAAATGTAATGATCATATACAATAACTAATAGAAGATCAACAAAATAACTTGGCAAATTCTGATTGTGAAAAGTGAAACAATGTTTTAGTGCCAATTGTGTTTGAAATATCTGCATTGGGAATTGTTTTTGATTTACTATTACTCCACTTATGAGCATGTTGCAGAATAAGATGAGAAATAGGACAAGAACAGTGTAGTCCTTTTGTTACAGACACTGGAACAAGAAATGTAATATTTCTAATCAGAAGGATATCAGAGCAAGCAATATAAATGCATAATTTGAACTACTAAGAAAGATATTAGAATAATCAAGAACTTATACTTTGAACAAACTACTTGCATACAGGTAGAAAATGAATTGAGAATGTACAAAAAAAAAAGAAAAGGGTGAAAGACAAGGATACATCTTACAGAGATTCCCTCTGTCTTTTTTACAAACATTTTCACAGCATCTGCTCTGACAAGCTTTTCTCACTGGTGCCCTGACTACATGAATTTAAGCATGTTACTAGATTGGCTTCTAGGTCTCACCCTTTTACTATTGAAATAGTTAAATGTAACTGCTACTTCTACTCCAAAAATTTCTTTTTCTTGCACTTCCTGCCTGTGGAACATGTTTCTATTTACTAGCTTCCATGGAAACTACAATCTTCAAAAATTTAAATACAGCATCAATTGCCATCTTCTATCTTCTTGAATCTCGTTCATCTTTTGTCTTGTCTTCAATCCCCCCCCTATACCCAGTCTTTTCTCTCACCTCCACTCTCTGTAACCCTTTGCATACTAGTGGAATCCCTGCCTTGCTTAGGGTGAAATGTTTTAAAAAAAAAAATTCATTTAATCTCTACAGCAAGGCGATCAAAAGAGGACTAGATGTCCTACCAGGTTTTTTTATTAGTGGGAATAATCTTAGCATAAGATAAGCAGATGACACTATTGATAGCAAAAAAACTGCAGGAACTCCTACAAAAAGGGGGAAAGGAAGGACTATCAAGTATAAGACAACAGAATATATGGTTATCAGCAAGAGGAACAGTCCACAATAAGCTACCAATTGGAGATGTCAAAACCAATCAAATACAGAAATTTAAATATCTGGGAAGAGTTTTAACAGAGGGCAGAAAATGTGACACTAAAATCTGAAGGTGAATTGGAATAGCAAAAGGTTCCTTCCAAAAAGCTAAAGTAAGTACAGACAAAACTCTCATCAATGAACTAATAGGGGCAGGGGTGGACCATTAAATTCAATCTGTAGATAGGAAGCGATTATTTTTGAGTTATAAAACCGCTATAGTAACAACCAGTAGTTATGATCATAATGTAAATACTATAAACATGTTATGGCATAAATATATAATGTAGATATATTAATCAAAATACCCAAAATAATAGATTTCTCACAGCTACTTACTCACACATGTGTTAATGTATCATACTTTATATGCTGTACACCCGTCTTTGTTTACAATTGAAAGGGCTGCCACTGCTGCCAAGCAGTCACTTTGAGAACTAAAAAGTCTCGTTCCGCTAAGCCTGCAAATTTTAAAATTCACGGATGATTTGGAAGTTTTTTTTGCTGTAGATTTTTTTTTTATTTTGCCTGCAGATTTTGTCCGTTGCATCCGAAAGCCATTGATGGGGAGCTCTGTAGATGAGAGGTTTGTCTGTATTAAGAAACAGTAAAGAAGAAAAAGCTGCTCAACTGCTATATAATATCACTTCTATATGACTGATTATTGGACAATTTCCCCGCAGAAGGGGAGGAGACTTCAGGCATCAGTGATGTGTTTCTACAGAAGAATGCTAAGAATACCATGGATGGAGCATGTAATAAATGAGGATATGTTAAAGAAAATGGAAATACAGAGGACACTTAAATCAGGAAGAGGCATTTGAAATATTTGGAGACATAATGAGGAAAGAGGACTTGGTGAATTTGACATTCACAAGGCATACTAAAAAGCAAAAGGGGTAGAGGAAAAGAGTGAGTAATCTACCTAACAAGCTTATGTGAATGGATGGTGGAACAGGGAGTAAGAGGAATCATAAAAAGAACAATACTGCTAAGAGCAAAGTTATGTAGAGTCTTGATCGGTCACATCATGAATGGACATGACACATTATAAATAAGATTAATTCTTCCATTACTACTTAGTTTAACTTTAGTTTCTTTCTAACAGTGTATGAAATAAATTTGAAAATAGAACACTAAATTTTGTAATCTTTTTACCAAATCACAGCACTCAGCCTGCATTTCATACATCCGTAAGTCGATGGCTGAATTTTGATCTAAGTTTTCACTGTATAATCTTTGATTTAATATCCACTTCTAAATAAAGTCTGTTGAAAAAGGAGTATAAATTAAAAATAAGTCTTTATTCTGTAGAATAAATTGCCTTTTTCTTCATTAGGCTATGTATTTATTGATCTACCTTTGTACCATGGGTTGAGCCAAGCCTTGTTTATGAAATTGGGTATACAGAACTATTTGGGAGTCATCGATGGTTGTGCTAGCACAATTTCAAAAGTCATCATGATCGAGGGTTTGAGTGTACTGGCCTTGTTCAAACAGTTGACCACATGAGATAATGTGCTCTCTCCCAGAAGGTTCACTCAGCATAGTCAGTGTAGAATACAGGCGGGGCTCTGTTGGTGTTGAACAAATGCAAATGTTCTTGAGCAGGTGTCTGTAACAGGGATTGGCTACTTGCTCTAGTAGACAGCATACTTGGATACAAGCATCTATCCACAACTATATATATATATATATAATGTGTGTGTGTTTGTGTGTAAATAATTTTCAGATAGTGTATCTGTAGAGGAACAAAATGAATGAAAAGAGAAAAAACTATTCTTATTCAACACATTTCGTCTTCTTCAGTATGTCCTGTGAGTTTGCCTTGATAAAGTCCCTCAGAGGATAATATGTGTCAATTAAGAATAGTTTTCTCTTCTCTCTTTTGTATTAATTTATATATATATATATATATATAAAAGAGAGACAAGAGGAAAAAATATATATATATATATATATATATAATAGGAAATATATATATATATATATATATTAACACAAATTTGTAAATTTACTTCAGTCTATTAAAAACCAAGCATAAGAATAAAAAAAAAAATGATATTTGTATCAGGAGAAACAGCAGGAAGGTTGGAGAATTGACCAGCTGAAATGTTATGCTTAAAAATAAAGAAGATTGTAGTTTGCATTATCCCTGGAACAGACTTCATCTTTGAATGTTAATTAAAATGATTCAACTAAATGTTGCAGACATCTGAGAAAGACTATCAGCAGAAATTTTTGTTTATTAACTTTACTCTGTGAAAAAGTGATTATTAAATAAAAGTGACTGTTTTTAAAATATCTTTTTTGACAAAAAAAAACATGGGAGGAATGTGAAAATAATCAAATAATGACAGCTTGCCTTTTTGGTAAAATAGGTTCCTGGTAATTTTGGTCTTGAAATCTCATGACAAAATATAAATGCCATCATATGCCCTGTACCAAAACTCTGACATGCAAATTATTTCTGAAATAACAAGTGTATAATGAACTAATTATTGGTCATTCATTTTGCAAGAAAGTTATTATTTTTTAATTACCTTATTTTTATTTTTTGTTTTGACTTTTTTTTTTTTACCAAAATTTATTTCATGACTTTTAAATTAATTTTTTTTAGGTTTTTCTATTTGTTTCACAGTTAACTTGTTACTTTTTGTTTCCTTTTTTTTGTTTTTTGAACTGTTTGTAGACAAAGAGTTGGTTATTTAAATGTAGGACACCAGATTTTGCTTCTGCTTACTGGAACAAACACCAATCTGAATGTTTTTACATTCACTACAATCATAACGACTTCAAGTCTTGGGTTAACTGTCAGTTATTTTTCTTGCATAACCCCAGGAACTTAAATTCTTACCCTTTTTATGTCAGGGCTTACAGCCACATTATATTGAAACACTGGTACCCATACAATCACCAAAGTTAAGCAATGTTGAGTTTGGATAGTAGCTAAATGGGTGACCACTTAGGAATATCAAGTACTGTAAGCTTGGATGTAATGGATAATGGCTTGGAATTGTTAACCGGAGAGCTGAGTTCCAATTCTTGTTGGGTTTGTTATATTTATTTACATACAAATACCCTTGGGAAAGTTATGAAATCACCTCTTCTCCCCCAGACATGGGTTAATTAGTAAGACTTGTATCACTAAATCATTATCTCCAAAAAATAAAAATGAAATTGTGTACAAAATATTTCAATTTCAGCATTAAATAACCCAGAGAGATTGATATGTCAGTAAGCAAAAACAATGAATCAACTTTCTCACTCTCATACAGCATCACTCGGTGCCTATACCTTGAGTGGCTCTTGGGCCTTGTATTGGTTGAATATTGATATGATAAAAAAGAGTCAATCTCATTTTTGAAGATATTAACTTAGTCAATCCTCAATAAATCAATTGCATCTGCAATAAGGTAATTCTCCTGTTAGTCTGAATATTAACTGAACACTTTCAATATGGCTGCCAGCATTTTATAGAAGCCACCACCTGGTGGCACTAAACAACAACCAAAATGTAAGGGCAATAACTACAACATTAATACTTCCTCCATTTCTTCAGTGTGCATAATAATACAGGCAACAAAGAAATTTTATAAGACCAAAGTCAAATATTATTCATTGGGCTCCATAATATGTCCAACAATCTTGGATGAGGGAACACCTCACCTCATAAGTGAGTCAGCTATTTGGTGACTTGTGGGCACCCATTTAATGTCAGAAAATTCTTTATTGATCAACATTTCATGCAAGGTCACTGTCTCAATTCTAAGTTTTGTTTTTATCCACAATCTGAATGCTAGAATGAGCTCATTTTTAAAGATGATAACTTGGTCAGATAATAAATGCCCTGTGTTATTTTTTCAACTAATTAAATATTTTATTAAAGTAGATACAAAATCAGTTTGTAATTTGCTCATCCATGACTCAGTTAAAGACTCTACAGTTACATACTATTTTTGGGGAAAATTTCAAAGATGTCTCCAACTTGTGATAGAAGTCTTAGCATTTTGGATTTTTTTCTCATAGAAAATTTCTATTTCTTATCTTGTTTGCGCTACCAATTTATGTCAATTTTATTCTATATCCGTTCTCATCAATGCAGGTCATTTAAAAAAATAATGTAGAATGAAGAATGAATTATTTAAATAAAAGAATGTTTTATGTTTTTAGCACTGTAAAAGCTAAGCAGAGTATTAAGAGATAGAAAAATTTTGTTAGAAACAAAGAAAAGAGTACTGAGCTGTTATGTGATATCTGTATGGCAGTGAATGCTGGACAATCTTCTCAAAGATGGGAAAGAGACTTGAAGCAACAGAAATGTGCTTCTACAGAAAGATGCTGAAGTTACCATGAGGTGAACATATGAGCAACAGCAAAGCTCATTGGAGAGAATGAAAACAAAAAGGAAACTGATACTTAACATCAGGAAGAGGCAGTTGAGAAAGAAAATCTGATTGAGATTGAGAGGGGAGGAAGAGACAGAGGAAAACAGCATGTAACATATTTGATAGGCTTGAGTAAATGGATGACAGAAAAGGGTTTGCAAGAAATAACAAAAAGACAAATGTTATTAAAAGCTATGAGGGACAGGAAGATGTGGAGGGTCATAATCGCCTACATCCTGAAAAGACACGACACATAAAAAAATTTGTATAGTTACATTACAATCGAGTTCATTACATTCACTTTACATGCTGATACCCTTGGGAAAGGTATGTGAACCACCTCGTCTGCTCACAGCTTTGGGTAAATAGCAGGACAGACTGTGTTCTATAGACTTGGGTGGTAACCAGTCGAGAAGAGGAAAAAAACTCTGAATTCAAAACCAGCCTGGATAAGGTTGGCCCTTGTCAGTTTATCTTGCCCAGGAAACACAACTGCCATTATGGCTGCAGTACAGGTTGTGCCCCTATGACCTGAATGAGTTACAGGTTTCATGATCGTGAGTTATGTGAAATTAATTCTTTATCCGTTTCTCAAGTTATTCATAATTATTTATCTATCCAGATATAGAAACCACTAATTGTGGATCTCTAATGATAAAAACAAGAAAAAAAAGTATCTATTAATAACATCAACTATGAACCTGGTGATAATGTAGTGTTTCGGAATTAAAAAACATACCTCCATAGATGTAAGCTGAAAATGTCCAATAAAGCTCAATATGAACAATCATGTGGGTAGTGTATGCAGAAACTGCCCCCACCCACATGCAAAACTCTTGTTTGAATACAAGAAAACTGCAATAAAAAAAATTAACAGAAGTACCTTATCAGTCATTTTCCTTTTCTATTTTTAATTATTTCACTCTGAGCAAGGCAATAAAGCCACTAAAATCCAAGGGGTTACTGAGTGAAAAAATATGAGAAAAAGAAAAACATTATTAAGAAGAGGGAACAATAAAAGAACAGAAATTCACGAGTCAGAAGATAATGATTCACATTGCATTTAAATTTATGAAGTTGAAAGTTGACTGGAAAGCAAGACGCTAGAAGAGAGTTCCACAAGAGAGAATAAACTTTTTATCATAGAACTTAGGACTACATCTAGCAAATTCAACTGTAAAATGATGTGACTTAGCTGACAATCTAGTACTGCACTTTAATTTAAAAAGTCAAGGTACCAAAGAGGAAGGCTCATCAAAACAATTACTGTGAAAATATTTATAGAAAATGCACAGGGACTCATACATTTTGTGGGAAACTGACTGAAGTTGAGATGCCAGGTCAGAACTGATAATATTGCAGCAGCTTCTTTGGATTTTATCAAGAATCTTTAAATTCATAGCAGAAGCACTAAACCAGAGGTGGCAGCAATATTCAATGCATGGGTGAATTGTAAACTTATAAATATGTGTTGTATACTCCCCTCTTCTGGAGTTCTCTTGAGTGACAGTCTCAATTAATATACTGTTGTATATCCTTTGTCTCGTTTTCTCTTGGCCAAGTGGTAAAATGTTTTTGATATCTGGAGATGAAAGTGAAATCAACAAAGGGAACTTGAAAACTTAACTATTTTATTCAACATGTCAATGTGTACATTTTTAACTAGCCAGTAGAGTTGTTCTATCACCCCCACTGGGAAACAAATTCCGAGACACAAAAATAGTCTACATTGTATGATGTGTAAAACTTAACTCTGAAATCCCTTTCTATATCTAACATTTCCATGCTAGTTTTAGCCACTACTTACACTATTCGGACTATTGTCCTCATCTTTGTATGTTTGGGCCTTCTTCAGGTGATTAGAATGTTGAACTGAACCCTTTATTTATAGAAGAACAGACCAGTATTCCAATAGATAATCTGATGGAAATGTTGACTTTCTGTATACAAACAACACACTTCGCAGTGGGATCATACATATATCAACAGGATAGGGCTTAGCAATGGGTTCACCATTATCACCAGCAATGGCGAATATATACATGGAATACTTTGAGGAAATGGCATTAGAATCTATATCTCTAAAGTCAACTGTATGGTTAAGGTACGTAGATGACACCTTCATACTCTGGCCACACCAGGAAGATGTTCAGGTTCTACTGAACCACATGAACTCAATAATACCTTCGATACAGTTCACGGTGGAGAAAGAGAGTAACAACACACTCACATTCCGGGATGTTCTAATATCTTGAACAGAGCATGGGTTCAAGACATCTGTATACCATAAACCAACATTTACCACACAGTACTTCAATTTCAACTCCCACCATCCATACGGCATAAAGAAAGGGATCGTCTGTTGCTTACAACACTGAGCAAAAGTTATAAGTGGCGACCCAGAGACATTAGATAAAGAATTGGTCAGCATAAGTAGTACCCTACAACGTAACAACTACACTGAGTACATGGTAGCAGCCCCAATAAACCAGGATAAGTGAGTACAAGAGGAGGACAACAAAACTTAGAAAACAGTCTGCCTGCCTTATGTGAAGGGGTTATCAGAGAAAATACAAAGGATCTGCGGTCCATGTAACATCAGGACAACCTTCAAAAGCTGGACGACACTTTGCAGATATCTCTCCTGAGTAAGACCCCCTATAGAGGAGAAGATGACTAAAGGCTGTGCCTACGCCATCCCGTGCAGCTGCTGAAAGAAATATAAAGGGGAGACTTAAGGTAAGACTTCAAGAACACCAGAAAGCTGTAACACGAGCGGAAGTGGAAAAATCAGGCATGGCTGACCACATATGGAGAGAGAAGGGAGATCACCGCCCTCTGTGGGATCAGGTTGAGATCATAGACAAAGAACACCATTGGAAAATTTGTAAACTTAAGGAATCAGCATATATGCTAGGCCACAAAAATCTCCTGAGCCTACCAAGCATAGAAATGAATACAATATGGGAACCAGTAATAAGGAGTGCCAGAGAAAAGTGATAATAACAACAAAAATTGCAATATGAGATCTGGTAAAAACATGTAATGATAACAGCAAAAATTGCAATATGAGCACTGGTAAAAAAATGATTGCTGAAGACATTAGGTTTATAATACCCAGAAATCCATACACAGATATCCTCAAGGACACATGGCTCAGTGGATAAAGGTGTTAGATCCAGTGACAGGACCCAAAGAGTGTATGAGTTCAATACCCGGTTATGGCAGTGGAGAACTTGGAGAGGGGAATTAACAGGAGATAACTGATAACTGACATCCATTAAAACATGGTACATGAAAGTAGAACAAAATAAAGGGTTCAGTTTGACATTCCAACCACCTAAAGAAAGCCAGAGCATACAATGGCCGAAATATTGTAATAAATATGGTGACAAAGATGAGGACAATAGTCTGAATAATGTAAATAGTGTACATAATACCTCAATCTCAGATATATAGAGAGATAGTTTTAGCCAATCAAAAACAACTTCCTTTGTTTTCCTGTATCTGCCTTCATGGTCAAAATGAGGAAATCTAAAAAAATAATCATCTACTAGACTGTTATTTAACATATGTGAGATAGATTCTGATGCATAAAAT